TCTCCTGTGATGGTTTCACCCGATTTTAAGAGCTCGTAGTAAATCACACCGAGCTGATCTCACCAAATACAAATCACCACCATGTTTGTCTTTGACATCGAAATCACCATTTATAAAACGTTGAAACTACTCCCGACACGTTCTTTCACTCAGAGCAGCATCACCGTAAGTTTCTGGGAGCATTCGATGCGCTTCAGCTGCATTTTTTTTTCGAATTGTAACAGAAAAGTAAAACTTCCCGCAAATGGCGAGAATTAGGCCACTGTTCACACTCACTTTAAAGGCATTATCATCTACGTATTTCGACCAGCCTCAGCCGGTGCAGCCACCTACCGGAAAACGGCGGAAGCTAAGTTGTATTAAATTAAAAATAAAAGGTTTGTCCAAGAAATAAAAAATAGAATTAAGGGTGCGAAAAATGTGTGTGTTATGTTACTCTCGGACCTACTGAATATGCAAATAAAATTTCATTAAAATCGATGAAGCTATTTTGGAGAAGTATCGTGTCTTACACGGTGACGCGAGAATTTTGTTTATTAAATATATATTACTTTAAATAAAAAATTAAGCAGATTAGCAAAAAGTAAAATTGAAGAAATAAAAACTAAAGTAAAATGAAAAAAATTCAATGAAAATATAGAAGCCAAGCGAAAATATCCAACACGAATTTCAATAAATTACTCAACCACATTGTGCATTCCAACACAAATCTCAAACACTCACCAACTAAAATTCACATTATTTATTTATTAGTAATTGTGTACATACACTATATATATGTATATATGTGTAGTTTCGCAATGTTTTATATTATTTCTGCATTTATTTCTATTTATTTAAGCGCTAACTATTGGAGCGCAAATTGAAATATAAATGGCTTAATTCATTTGGTTCATTAAACTGCATAATTTTACACATAATATGAATGTTATTTTGGCACAGCAATGCAGAGCACATTCACACGCACACACCACGTGAAGTATTTCACAAAAATATGCATAAATAAATATGTATGTACATATATATCTGCTTGCATGCGGCAATGAGTTTAATGCGAAAAATAATGATCACTCAGATTTATTCCTGAAATTTTTGGAAAATTTCAAAAAAAAAAATTTATTTTTGCCTTATCAATAAAATATTCTCATATAATAAAAGGAAAAAATATAAATGATAACCACATTACATATATATAACATTTCATGGACAAATAGGCGGGGCTTCTCATTAAATTTGTATATTATCAACGTTGATGTTAAATAATGAGTTCTGTCTTGATGAGAGAAATACTCAAAGGCGAGTGCTATCATTCACCCAATGGATGAGTGCCTACATACATACATGCACATTCCGCATTAATCGTACGTAGTACGCCTCGTTATCAAGATTGTGTTTGGCGATTTCTACGACAGAGTGAGCAGTGAGAGTATCTTCGGTGCGTCAGACTCATCCACGGTGAAAACTACCCAAATGGGTTGAGACTGAGAAGAACTGCATCTACAGCAATGTTTACAATCGTGGTTCCTTCCCCTGCTAATAGATCATACTCGTATGTGTGTAACCCATGGCGCTGGCGTGGAACACGCTTGCTAAGCTCTCTTACAGTTCAGTCTCTTCCACTCCGTGCTTAACATTGAAATGCTGGTTTTCGGCAGACAGGACTGAATAAATACATAGCAGTTAATATCGAGAGACTTTGAGGTATAATGGAGTAGTGGAATGTAATACCTTCTACTCAATGCCTGGCAACAACACGTAGAAGAGTAGCACCTCCATGATTTTTGGCATAATGGGTCGCTATGATTCTATTTTATCTAGCAGTCGATCATGATCATGCATCTTTTCGGGTTTTAGTTTGTGAATAACGCTTACCTACTTACTTACTTACTTTTCCGTTTTGGAAGTGTGGGTCTAGCTGATGAGAGTAGTTAAATGTAATGCAGTTTTCATTACCTAATATATATTTTACTATATAAATGACATGAATTGAAAAGGTCCTCATAAAACACTACGAGCCGTTCGGAGGCGGCGCAGAATCAACTGGAGGTCCTTCCATTCAAAACCAGCACAAAACCACAGTTTGAAGAAGCACGACCGATAATCGCATTAGCGGTTACAAAGCGCCAATTATATATATATATCTATATATATAAATATATATTTAAATCCTATATTTGTTTGTTAAGACACGCGGAATCGCCAAAAGTTACAAGCCGACTGAATTGAAATTTGGTTGGATTGTTTCTTTGGATAGTGAAAATAATAGGTGTAGTAAAAAGAAATACGAGATAAAGACGGCATCGAAAGAGGAGCTAAACCAGATAAAAAAAATGATTTTTTGATGTGCTTTGGAGAAAAACCATTGGCACAAGTGTATAACATCTCATGGGGATTACTTTGAAGGGGACAAAATAGATATTCATGAATAAATAAATAAATTTTGAAAAGACACAAAATTCGCGATATTTTTTGAACACACCTCGTACAATATTTTTGGATGAAATTGAACGCTTTAATTATTCACTTTTCGTATCCAGCCTTAGTTTAATGGTTTCAAACGATTTTTTGTGCAATTTCTAGTTCTTGAGCAATCGAAACAGTGCTGACATGACGATTTTAACAACTTCCAGCCGTTTTACTAAAAAAATTACCGGAATGAAACCGAAATCGCGCTTAATTGACTGCAACAGTATAAGGACCATAAGCGCTATTCACATTTTCAGCCGCCCGGTTTGTGTTTTTGCTCTTATCGAAGAAAAACTGCAAAATTTTGGGTATTTTCTATTTTCTAGTGACCATCATTGACACGCACTCAAACAAAAACTGAATCAACTAATCACAAAACTGTCAGAAAAACTTGTTTAGTACGAAATGTCTTCTTTCTAACGCCTTCCAGCGGAAGCCGATCGCACCATGGTACGTTCGGAACGTAAATAATTATAAAAACTTTGGTATTTTACTGGTTAAGACAGAAATTGAAAGAAGCAGGACGAAGTACTTCACAAAGCTAAGAAATCATCCAGGATGACTTTGTCATGTCGCTCTTGATATTGTGGCCGCTTTTCTTTTAGCGCGCGACTAAGGCGCATCAGTTGCGTTCGGTAGCGATCTCCTGTGATGGTTTCACCCGATTTTAAGAGCTCGTAGTAAATCACTCCCGACACGTTCTTTCACTCAGAGCAGCATCACCGAAAGTTTCTGAGAGCATTCGATGCGCTTCAGCTGCATTTTTTTTTCGAAGTGTAACAGAAAAGTAAAACTTTCCGCAAATGGCGAGAATTAGGCATATAAACGGACATTTTCGAGGGTGAATAATACGAAAACAAGGACAACTGTCACTGAAACGGCAATGACAATTCGTTAGGCACTGTCCACTCTCACTTTAAAGGCATTATAATCTATGTATTTCAACCAGCCTCAGTCGGTGCAGCCAACTATCGGAAAGCGGCAGAAGCAAAGTTGAAACTGAATTAGAGTTTCTATATAAAAATGTACGTATTTCCATAAATTAAAATCTAAAAGCGAATTAAATTATATATATTGGTTGTATGCATTTGTGCGGTTCTATAAGAGAGGACTCTACTAGTATTATTTCATGCCGTGTTCATCTGCTATATTCATTTCAAAGGTACCGTCATTTTGCGTCGTTTTCAGTAGATGTTATTTGTTTTAGCGTGAACAACTATTTGTTTCATTCATTTGAAATTGTCGAAATTTGTACCAGATAAAGTGTTCTTGCGGGGAGCTCTTCTTCATTACTTTAACATGAAGAAAAGTGTTACCAAAAGCCATTGCATTTTACTGGACATTTAAAGTGACCATGCTTTAGCCGAACGAACGTGCCAAAAGTGCTTTGCACGGTTCAAAAGTGGCAATTTCGAATTAGACGATGGACAGCCAACAAAAATTCAAGACGTAGAACTGGTGATATTGCTCGACGCAGACGCATACCAGACGCGAGAAGAACTTGCAAAAGTATTAGGAGTTGATCAAGCAACCGTTTCCAGATGGTTAAAATGATTTTTTCATAATAAGGTCGTAATTTCCGAAAAAACCGCACGAGTTAGTGTATTAACTTTACTAAATACATTTGAAAATTTAACATGGGAGAAGTCGTGGGTTTAGTGGCTTCAGTTTAATATTAAATAAAATTATTCAAATTTAACTTTAATTGAAATCTAATTTTTAACGATATGAAATTCCCATTGAAATTCCATATTGTTAAAGGTATTATTTGCCAAAGGTATTATATATTTGCACATATGTATAAATGTATTTTGATGCACTTCATTTTGCACAATTTCGTTTAAAGCACACATTCGATTTAATTATCTTATAAAATACCCATTAACCTCCTATTAAACTCACTCAAATAATTCTAATGTTTTCATGAAAAGCCATTTAAAAGTGATATCTCAATTACAAACGGAAATACAAATACACCGAAATATATTAAATTGCATGAGAACCCAAAGGAAAATCGAAAATCAATCTGTTTTGAACCGTTACGCTAAACTGTTATTGTCTCGTGGCGTACGCTACCCATCGCCAATGACGTGTTAATTACAAATTCCTATTAAATTAAATATAAATTAATTGAATTCCGAATATGCACAAATGTCGTGACCCAATTTTACGGTGGTGAATATAAGATATACACATGCATATACACCTATATGACGCATCTATGTGGCGCACTAGGTGCTGCGTACGTATGTGTGTGCGCGTTCATATTGTCATATGCGAAGCAATCATGCATAAAAGTTACGACATTTGGGGCACACACACAGAATCACATACTCGTATATATGCATGCACACAAATGTACATGCATACATATATAAATTATATTTATGCCAAATAATGAATGAAAATAAGAATAGAAATGATAAAGACCAGTAGTGATTTGTTTAATAAATATTTATTAAATTTCTATTTACCAACGCTTGTCATGCTTTACTTATTTCTCTTACTTTCTGCTCTTCGTTATCTTCTTACAGTTGCTTAAACGAATGGCGGCTGCGGCGTATGCGGGGCACGTAGCCCCACACTGGTAAACGGCAGCTAACAAATATCATTACAATGTCAAGAAATGGCACGTTAAACAACAACAACAAAAACAACAACGCCTTTACATCATCATAATGCCATTTATTAGAAAACAAAAGCAAAAACAAAGGTCAAGCATTGACCTTCTACCGTCAGATAATAGAATACATAAAAATAAGCAGAAATAATCAGAAATAAGCATAAATAGACAACAATAGAAATGTGAAATTGAAAAGGCAAATTGAAGTGAAACAAAGAAAACAAAACAAAAAGAAAAAACAACAATGCAAATAAAAATAATTACACGTATATATAATTACATTGAATAGCGGAAGCAAAGAAATTTGAAAAAAAAAATCCCGAAATAACAGAAAATGCTGTTGACAAACACAATCTGTCCCAGCAACAATACGGTGCGCACAAAAACAACAATAAGAGGAAAAACGATGCATATGCGAAAATAAAAATACAAACACACACATACATACACGTATATTTATTTATTTATTTATTTATTTTTTTTTTTACAGAAAATGCGAGTTTTGCAACAAGCCGCTGAATTGACAGGATATTATTCAATAAAGCCCTAAATGGTACTACTTCCCGACTAGTACGAAAAATTACACATCAATACCAGTCTCACTAGCATTAAATAAATCTTAAATTTTATTTTAAATAGAAATTAGTAAACTTTAATGTCGCCAAAAAAGGTACTGGTTACCAACTAGTCCGCAAAATACCAAACCCATACCGATTACGGAAATCTTCATGAAATCATTTAATTAAATGAATTAATAAAATTCTAATTTTTAAAAAGTATCCCGATAATTTTACTAGTTTCTTAAATAATTATAACTCAGACAATGAATACAAATGATGGATACACCCTATTTTTCATACCATGCTTATTATATTGTAATTTCTTCCTACTTTTAAGTGTGTCTTTAGCAGAAAACATTATTTTTGATCGAAATTGAATCAGTTATTATTTTGCCCATTTTGAACTAGTTTGAAACTAGCTACGAGAAAGTTCACGCCCATTATCTCGTGTGAAAACCCGGCGTGTTAAATTTTATAGCGTCATGAACGACATTTAATCAGCCAGTTGAGCTTGCTCGCCATATAAGCAATTTCGAAGTAGTTGCAAACTAGTTTCATTTGAAGTACTGGTCAGCTAAAAAATTGAAAATCCATTATCTATTTCTTTCGCGGAATTAACTTTAATACAAACTAAAAAGAGTATTAAATATTATTTGTTTTTGGCATTGCTTTAATGGTGGGAGGAAGCAGAGGCGATAGCAGCAAGCCTTTTCATAACAAATCGCTGATGATATTGAAATCACAGAGTCCTGAAATTCTTCTGACGAATTAATATTATTTATAGCTGAAGTAAGAGACTGCACTAACCACTGTTCATTCTAAAAGATCTGGAGGTGAGTGTAAAGACGGAATGATTACCAACAGAGCATAAAATTGGACTTTATTAGAGAGTTCGGACTAACTTATGCTTCTGAATTACCATGAGCCGTAGAGTAAGCTACTGTAGAAGAAGATCTTAAGATCAATAAGAACAACTAGCACTTTTAGTCCGATGTAAGTAAGTAAGTACTCGTTTTCAATTGTCGAGGGTACTTATGAAGGCCTCGCTCCTAAAAACCCTTCTGATCCATCCTAGAGCGCACAATACACTTATAAATAACCTAGCAGCTAACTCTGGTGATTGAACATATTTTCTTCATCATCATTTAATTCACCAACCACTTGAAAGCTTTAGTAGAGCCAGCCACATTATAAAGTATATATATTTAAGGAGTTAGAGGTAGTCAGAATTTTCAAAAATGGTCAATTCAAGAGAAAACAAAAGGCTCTCGTGTGTTCTGAAACCCTTGTGTTTATGCTGGCAACTACACATTTTAATGTGCGCAGCTTGAGCGGTAGGAGGAAGAGGATGTATAGGTTAAAGAAAAGGTCTTTAACTTATTGATCGATTCGTTTGCCTCTATCAGAACCTCAGAGGTGAAGTCTATAGGGAAAAGTTAGAGATGATGAGGGATGGCCATTCCTTTTTCAACATAGTAAATATGCTGGACAGAGCTCAGAGAAGAACTTTTTTCCCCTTGCTACTTCTGACTGATATACTCTCCGTACATATTATCGCGCAGCTTGTGGTGGTAGAGGTGAAAACCGAGGATATTTGGTTTTCACCTCAATCTAAAATCCTTTTTAAATCTCTACATACTTGAAGTAGACAAATATTTACTTAAATTTTCCACAACCAAAAGTAGCAGACTTTAAGTCACACAAAAGTATGCCACTTCTCGGAAACGAAAATAAAAACAAAACCGACACTGAAACCAAAACCCAAATAGATACACAGCAGCAGCAGGTTAACAAGCGCCCAAAATGCCGCAGCGAAACAATCAACGCAGCGAGTGGGAGAACAATAAACCGAGGCAAATAACAGTCAACACAAATAGAAGCCCCAAATGCGAAAAAAATGAAAATCAAAAACAAACAAAGAAAAAACAAAAACAAAATTGAAACATGAAAACGAATTGAGGTGCATACTTTTGGAGGCTCATGTAAATGTATATATACATATAAGCACACAAGCAGATGACAAAATGGATGCTACGCGTTGTTCAACACACACTGCCATTCATGTATGGGTGCACTTAATATATGTACATACATATGCATGTGTAGAAATGTGTTTTTGTATAAGTATGCGCTTATATGCCCCAACAGACCCCTGTCGTCAGTCGACCGCTAAGTGCTGCATTTGCTGGCAATTTTCGTAAATTGCCAGCGAGATAAAAAGGGAAAATGTCCAATTCCACACACTCACACACGCACACACACACACACACCGAATGCCGTCACACTCTTTATTACACCTACCACTGTGGGTATATATACAACGGTGCGCATTTATATGTATAAATGTGCGTTTAAATACAAATATCGGCGTTGTTCCTGTCAACCGTTACATAAGAGCATTCAATTCAATGCGTTCAACCCATTCATTGCAATGATTGGCGTCCACTTTCAAAGTGTGGCCAACTCACTGTGTGAAACACAAATTTACTGAGGCAGCGCACGAGCTTAAATATGTACACACATATGAATGTACTGCTAGTTGTGCAGCAACAAAAAATGACTGTTTTACGGTAGATATTTTGGCAATCGCCTGCCACTCGCTTTTCATTATTGTCCTACCCCGTATTGTTGTTGTACAGATTGTGGTTGTTGTTTTTTTTTTATTTATTTCTGATACGCGTCGGGAGTAAATTTTCATGATAATATTTAATATTGATGCTTATAGTTGTAGACTGAACATAACCCCACAAAAAATTGAATAAAAGCGATGAATCACAAGATCTAGGCGTCCAATTAACCGATCCCTACCGTGAAACAAAATGTTCACCGAACTTTCCTCTCAACAAGCTCCTTGCTACGCGTGCTGTGCGGCATGCGGCACTGTCTTGTTGAAACCACATGTTATGCAAGTCAAGATCTTGCATTTTGGACAAAAAAAAGAGTTTGATATCATCTCGCGGCAGCGCTCAACACTCAGAGTTACGTTTCAATGCGCATCAACTTTGAAGAATCACGGTCCACCAACCCATAAACCGCACTAAACTATGACTTTTTCTGGATGCATTGGTAGCTCTCGCAATGCTTCTGGCTGATCCTTAATCCAAAATTCACAATTCTGCTTATTTACGCACACATGAAGCCAAAAGTGAGCTTCGAAGCGCGCCATAAAATTTCTTAACAAATCACGCATTTTGATAGATAAATTCAATAATTTGCTTATGCTGTTTAAGGCAGTGTTGCCAAAAAGATAATAGCTAGAAATACACCCTTTATAAGGCTTTTAAAGGAGATTGTTCGACCGTTGGCCATGGCGTATACGCAACGAATTTGTATGCAGTTTGCCTATGTCATATTTATATATGTGTGTCTACGCATATAGATCACTTATTTAAATACTCTCCTCATAGGTCATGCTGAAAACATTAGTACTTGTATTTAACATGATAAATCACTTAAAAACGTAAAATGAAAAATTAGAAACAAAAATTACAAAAAGAAAGTGAAAAGTTTAAAAAGTGAATTGCAGTGCAAAACAGAAAGTGAGAAGTATACCAGCGAAAAGATAGTCGTCGCAGCAACAACGACGGCGTGCATCGGGAGTCGAACGGTCAAATATGACAGAGTATAAAGGTGAGATGTTTAGAAATATGGAATTTTGTATAAAAAATGGTAAAGGAAATTGATTCTCTTGTCTAAAAATTGCCAAAAATTAATTTTAATTAAGAAAAATTGTTTCATGAAAATTCGAAAATTTCCATCTTAATGGAATATATGGGGAAGGTATAAAGTGGAAACAAAAAGATAGTTCAACTAATTGGAAGGAATAAATAACAAAATCATAATAATTTTGAATAATATTTTTTAAAGAAAAAATATGCTTGGTTCACAATTTAGCACCAAAGCAAAATATTTAAAATTATGATTCTTTTATGTTTTCCTATTTATTTACAATATTTAGCAACTATTGTCTATTTTTTTTTATATAAAATAAAATTTATGTCAAATTTTCTGATGTCCACCTCTCCGAGTGTATTGCGGATATGAAATAAAGGCGCCTCATAAGATAACCAACAGCCGTTCAGATGTATCTTACTATAAACTGTAGGTCCCTCTATTAGTTGAAGAAACATCAAGCGCAAATAATAAATCGAAAGAGGAGCTGGGAATAAAATCGCTACAGCGCTCATATATTTTTTATTCCATCTAAGAAATGAAGACGTCTTACAATATTCAAAATAAGATTCAGGGGATTAACAAAAGATCCCAGACCAGAAAAAAAAAATATATTTTTGTATTTATTCGTAATCTTTGTCATATATTATTTTCTCTCTTTTCTCTAATCTTTAATCAAAAATCGATTTTTTTCTACCCAAAACAAGAAAGCAATATCTTCTCCTACAAAAAAAAATCAAACTTTGCCTGATTGTTGCCTAATATAAAAGGAGCGCCTCCTTAAAGAGCTTTCTTTTTAAATTTTTTTTTAATTTTTGGATATAACCAGAAATCTAAATGTGCTATATCTGGACAAAGCGGTGCTGGACGTAGTTCTTCGATTCCAGAGGCCGTAATAAAATTACTTGTTATTTCAGCGGTATGGGGTGGCGCGTCATCATGATGTAAAAAATAGCGCCGCAAAAACCTTGTACTTCCTGTTTTTCAACAACTATTTGAAAAATTTTCGTAAGCACTATTCGGCGTATCATTTTGCAGTTACCTACTGACCCTTTTTCCAGTGGAATAGCAGCTACGATTTTAGATCGGGTGAAGTGAACTGACATCACAACTTTTGCTGCTGATTTTTGTTGCTTATATTTTACGGATGGGTTTGCTATTGGTAGGCTACATACCATTGGTGCGACTTGGTTTCTGCATTGTACATATAGAGTTAAGATCCCTCACTAATTAGGACTTTATTAACTTTGCTAGACTGACCATATTCAAATTTTTTTAGGAAATATTGAGCGAAATGCACTCGAGCCTCTTATTGAGCCTCATTTAAAATTTATGGTACCCATCGAGCAGATTTCTTCGTGCATTTCAGATCATTACTTAGTATTCGCAAAACAGCCGTGGCACTCAAGCCCAATTCATTGGCAATCGTGGGTCTGCGTTAAATTTGGGGCTTCACCGGAGCTATAGTGTCGTAAACAGTTATAAATTTTGGTCGACTTTCTCGTGGCCCATTCTCTACGGAAAAATGCCCGACTTGGAATCTTCGGAACCTCTTAGAAACAAAGACGATATAATTTGGAATTCACTGAATACTTGTATTTGCAGTAAATTACGCTAAAACCCGAAGAGAATCAAATGGTGAATTTTGTCTTTGCGTTGGTGGTGGAATGTAATCTGACTTATCCACAGCTAACTTTGGTTTTCTCATATCCATTTTAGCCGGTTGCTCTTATATTTGGGCGAGTTTAAAGAGCACAAATTGTTTACCAAAGCTCGTAGCGTCTTGGATAGAAATCTTTGAAGAATTTCTAAATTGTTCGTGCGTACTGAATCAAGCATAGCGTTGTACAATAGGAACTTATTGTTACACTTACATAGCGCAGTCGTATTTTAGGATCGGGATGCTCTTTAATTTGATTTGCCAATCCATGTCTAGACATGAGTTAAGTTTGCCTTGTTGACCTTCAAGCGCCAACACGTGATTCAGTTCCAAATTAGTCAATCATGATTTGAAATTTTGAAAAAGTCTTGTGTGCAGTTGTGACGACAGCGGCGTCATCAGCAAATGGTAAAAAAGGACATTATTTGGAATTTGATATGGAATTGCCTTATGGGTCGCCAGCTTTGCTTTTACGTTTTCATTTGCCACATAGGAAAGACGTTAGCTCAGATATTGTTTCAAAACCTACACGATTTCACCTACCTTCTCTTAAAACGGGAATATCCCTTTAATTGCGTGAGTTATAAAGTTTAAAGCTTCGTTAAAAAGCTTTTTCAGCACTTTGACTTCTGTTTTCTTGGTAGCATTTAGTATTTCACTAAAATTCCAAATATTGTGGTTCGTTTAGAAATTTGGGATCATTCATAAAATATTTATTTGCATCGATGTGGGGAGAGAAAAACTTTTTAAGGTGCTCAGCAAAAAGCTTAAATTTCTCCAAAAGAGCTTTGTGCCAGGAGTTGTCAGATTTTCGAAGTTGTAGTCGCTGATAAGTCGCAGCAGAGTAAAAAATTGTCTAAAAACAGCATAAATTCCAAATAGTTTGAACTCCATATCCAATCATATCATAAGGTCAAGTAAAAAGTTCGTTCGGTTTTTATCTAAGAGATGGCTTTATTGTCCACAGTACTAGTGTTACGTGTCTTATCATGTCATACTACAAGGCGCTGCAAACGTGTTTATTCGCGCTAAAAGTTTGCCTTTGACAGTTTTTCGATTGATTGACTTAGTACGTTGTGAGCGCTCGTCAAAGATAGACACCAACAAAGGGAAAATTCGCTAAATTTTACAAATTTTCTTCGATCAAGGCGAAATAGCAGTCAAAGCGGCTGGAAAAATTAATTTAGTTTATGGACCCGATACTGTAAACGAAAGTGTAGCACAAAAGAGGTTTGCTGGGCTTCGTTCCGGTAATTTCGACGTCAAAGGTGCACCACGCATCGGGAGGCCTGTCGTCAGAAATCGCGATAAAATCATGGAAATAGTGAAAGCAGACCGTCTTGTGAGCACTTATTTGATTGCTGAGGATCTAAAGACAAGCCAAAAATCCGTTTGGAACCATTTTCATCAACTTGGATGCAAAAAGAAGCTCGATGTTTGGCTGCCACACGAACTAACGCAAAAAAACTTGATAAACCGAATTTCCATCTGCAACAAAATCTATCAGTTTCTGAAGAGGGGTTGTGACGGGCGATGAAAAATAGGTCACTTACGACAACATCAAGCTCAAACGGTCGTGGTCAAAGCTCGCGAAGCTTCTCAGACGGTGGCCAAGACCGGATTGACGGGCAGGAAGGTTTTGCTGTGTATTTGGTGCGATTGGCAAGGAATCATCTACTATGAGCTGCTCCCCTATGACCAAACGCCCAAATTCGGCCCTCTTCTGCCAACAAATGGACCGTTTGAAGGCAGGACTCATCCAGAAGAGGCCATCTTTGATCAACAGAGGCCGAATTGTGTTCCATCAGGACAACGACAGGCCACACACGTCTTGGGTGACGCGCCAGAAACTACAGGTTTTCGGGTGAGAGGTCTTAATGCACCCACCTTATAGTCCGGACCTGGCACCAAGTGATTACCATCTTTTCCTGTCTATGAAGAACACACTTGGTGAGAAGTTGGCCTCAAGTGACGCCTGTGACAATTGGTTCTCCGAGTTCATTGCCAATGAGGACTTAGCCTTCTACGAGAAAAAGTTCGTTGCCAAGAAGTTAACGTACAAAACGGCACATATTTATCTTAAATCGGACAAATTTAGACAAAGTTATCATATTTTGAAAAATCAATAAGAAACCGAACGAACTTTTTACTTCTTAGTTGTAAATTAATTAATTCATTTTTTTTTCTTATTTTTTNTATATCTTTTCATTTGTTTTTGTTTATTTATTTAGTCATTTAATTACTGTATTATTTAGCCAATCACATATATACTTCATTGGTTTTATTAATATTTTTGTTTTGATATTTTTTGGGGGAGCTTTATGGTTTCTTCATATAGAGTGAGCTTTTGTGGATCTTCGCCTAATAACCTGGCCAAATTATTTTCAGCGGCTCAGCAAGAGAATTTTTAGGAAACCGCAAGAAATTATTGTCAGGTGGTGCAAGATCCCGATTGTTAGGTGGGTGCACAAAAACTTCCAGACAAGCTCGGTCAATATTTAACTGGTCATCGAAGAAACGAAACTTACTTTTTTTAATGATCATAACGAACGATTCCCCTCCATCTCTCCATACACTCAGCCTTTTTTTGTAATCAGTTCGGGTTTAAAATCATTTTGGAATGATCAATGGCCTTAGTGACGACTTTTTTCATTTCGTATTGTCAAATTTAACCTTGGTCATGGATGAGTTGATAAATTACAATAAATTACGATAACTTATGTGACACCCAACCTTTTATATAGACGAGATTCTTCTTACCGCTAGACGCTAAAACCATTTTGTTTATTTAATGAAACAGACGAGAGATTATAGACAGTTCCTGACGGCGTCAAGCTGTAGTTAGTGGTAGAGCAGTGGTATCGTTTATACCCTCTGAGGAAAACTACCACCTCGGTATTCAAGGGATATACACCCAGACTATACATTTCATACTTAGCTCAAGGTAGAGGTTTTGCAAAGAGTGTTTCTGCATTGGATTTCAAGGCTGACATTACTATTGGCGTTAATGCTGGTCCAAGATTCATAGCTGAATAACACTATGAACTCAGAAACTATTTTAATTACCTGAGATACCACATTCGCTGACCTAAAATTTTATATTTAATTTTTTACAAAAACAATGATTTCAAAACTAACTTTACTGACTTCATTAAGCTGTCCAAAAGTTTTCCTTTGGACTATGCTCTACCCCTACTAAGATAAATGCAATTGTACATGTAAGGTCATTCACGAAAAATTCATTTTTAATCCATGCTAATTCTAAAATATTTAGCTCTTGAATATTTTTGTGAAATTTGTGCTTACATTTCTCTAGAATGCCCTACAGGCAGAATATGAAATGTTATCATGTGAAGGTAAATATTAGTGGTGGTAGTGGTGGTGGTGGAGGTAGCTGGTGGTAGTATCAAGTGAAGTAATATTGGCAGCAGTTGTTATTTGTTTGTTGCTCTTGTAATTTAAAATGTTAGCAGCTCCTATTTATTTGTCGAATAATATTATGCGCATATGTACATATGTGTGTGCGCTTGTCTCGATTCTATATTATACCACAGTCATACATACCAACACATAGTTGTATACAAATGAAGTCCTTAAGGCATGAACTTTTATTTTTCACTTCTGACATTTCTGACAATTTCTTAAAGAAAGATTTCACTATAATCCAATTCATTTCTACTCTTCACATAATTTGCGATTTCGCACTTTCAAACGATTAAATTATTAATGAATTGTGTTTTATATTATTTTATTTTATTTTATTTTAATTTATTTTATTTTATTTTATTTTATTTTATTTTATTTTATTTTATTTTATTTTATTTTATTTTATTTTATTTTGTTTTTTTTTCAACTTATTGAATTTTACTTCTTTTATTTATGTTATTTTATTTTCATATTTGGTAATACTTTTTTTGCCCTATTTGTTTTATTTGTTATTATTCGAAATTCTTTAGTTTTCTTTCTTTTGCATTAATTATCCAGGAATGATTTTCTGCATGTCACAATTAAGTCTGTCTGAGAGTTGATTACCTTTCGTATGAGTGTATATTTTATACACTCCAGCAGCGAATAATCCCATTTTGCACAATTGTACCTTTTCAGTGTTCAAAATTTCAGCTCACGGACTTGAGAAAAGGACCTTCCATTTACTAAGTGTATGTAATTCTCATTATTTGCAGATGCGCACGACTACGTTTTCATTGCGGACGGAAGTAGCAGCGACAGCAGAAGCTCGTACGTCATATCCGCGAACCTTAGCTCAAAGCCGCTCAATGCCAACAACAGTGGGAGCAACTACAACAAACGTTACAGTATTAACAAAGGTAGTACCCATAGGCGAACACACACAAAAAGACCTACCACAAGCCCATCACCTCCTTCGACGCCAACAGCGTATACTATGCTGCCCATTAGCTACCAGAATGTCCACCAACAACATAGCCGTGAGAATAGCCCCATGCCTGCGTACCAGCATAGAAACACTGCCACGCATACAGCTGCTAATGCGGCGGAGGCTTTATCAGCGGCAACAACAGAAACAACAGCCGCCACAGTGGGATTTAAACTCAGCCAGGCTGGTGCTGGTACGTTGGAGGGCAGTAGCACAGGCAGTAATAATCATAATTTACAGCAGTTGCCGCGCCAACGACAACAACACCAACATCAACAACAATATAATCAACATCCACAGCAAGCCTTAAGCGCCACCACCATACTCACCACAACTGCCATTACTGTGCTGGCCGCAGTCAAAGCGGCAGCCGCAACAGCGACCGCGACGCTAACAGTGGACAATTTGTATGGCGGCGTCGCGGTTGGCCTTGGTGCAATGCTAATCAACGATACGCTCTTACTGGAGGCGGACAATGGACACTGGATTGGCAATGGGAGTCTGCTTTTCGATGACGTCGTCGAAAGCAACAACTACAACATCAACGGAAGTGACCTTATGCTAAATGACAGCGCGGCGAACCTCACAACCAGCAATGCCACGGCGGGTGAAGAGGATTTCGGCGAGTTGCTGCGTATGGCCACGACTTCAGTGGTGCTCGGCTTGCTCATACTCATCACGATAATAGGTGAGTGCAACTAAAAGCTATGGAAAAATAGAATTAAAAAATAAAATTTCCAAATTTCAAATTTAAAAATAGAAATTATGTCTGGCAGTGAGATTTACCGCATGGTTTCCTCGCCCTGCCGTGCCCTCCCCTCCTTAGGTATGCGCACGCCTTTCGAAGTGAAATTTAATTAATTGCTTTTCACACTTTTGATTAAGTCATCAGGCAGCACATCATCAACGAACGAGCACAGCAGAGCAACAGAAAATTAAACCTGAATAGAGGCTTTGGGGCGCGACTGTTGGGTGGACGTCTGAATTTGAATATCTTGACCAACTGTGTTTGTGGCCACAATACAACTAGCTCAGCAGGCCCAAAAAGTTGTTGGTGACAGTTGTCACTGTGACGCGCTTTATTGCCCCCAACACACTTTGCGTAAGTTTCTTCGCCTCCTTCTTGTTATTGTCGTTGCACACAAATTAAAAGTTGACATAAGCCAGTCACGTCAACGGCAGCACTTTACCTTTGAACTTTGCCGCTCGCTCTGGATTGAGGTGGAGGCTGGAGAACACTTTTTGCGCAAGCACAATACTTTTACATACATAATTGCATCAAGACAGGGCCGATAGAGACGGCGAATGGCGAATGATGGCGGCGGCGATGGCGGAAATATGCAAAATTTATGCAAACTTTAACTGAAAGCGAGAGGTCGAGTAAATAGTTAGTGGCACTTGTTTGCAGGAAATGATATGCCTGAGGGTCAGAGTTGATGGAAAAGCAACAACAAAGGAATGCGATAAAAACTGAGGGTGGTGTTTTCCCTTATTATACCATTTAAAGCTTTAAATTTTGAGGTAGATTAAACGCATTTCAATGGAAAATGTTTTCGGAGTGAAATCTTCGTTTCTTTTTTCGCTTAACGCAGAGAACAACCAAACGATTTTCGGCATTTTTCTAACCTGATGTTGCTTCCTTGCACTCTCTATTGTTTTCTGGTAACCACTTTCCGCAGCACCTTAGACACGGTACAAAAGTCTATCTTTAACATCTTAACATAACTTATATACTAAGCTGAAGATCCAAATTTTCATTAAGCGAGAGCATTCGAATTGTCCTCATTGTCCGCGGTGAGCGATAAGTCATCTCCCCTCAAAGTTAGACATCTGTGCTTACGTCTAGCTTTTTCGTGATCCATGCTGCCGCCAGATGTGGTCAACTCAACTTAAACGTACTGACGTGATGCCAACAAGTTTTTAGTTCACTTACCTATGTAGGATGATTAACCAGTTCCTAGCATTGATTTCTTCGTTGTCAGGCTCCAATTAGAAATACCAAGTACAGCCAGGTCCATCTCCACCTAGTCTTGCTAACGGAATGGAGGTCTTCCCTTCATCTGGTTCCAACAGCGGGTACTGCATAGAAAAACTTTCCGAGTTGGAGTTTTCTTATCCATGAGAACCACATTACCTACCAAGCGTAGCTGATTCTTTGTTCACTGAACTAAATCAATGTCGCTGGGCATGTATATCTCATACAGCCCATAGGTTCATTGGTATTCGCGGTATTCGCCATAACTCTTACGCGAAAATTTGTGCTCGAAAACTCTTAACGCCGACTCATCAGATGTTGTCACCATCCATGTCTCCGCACCATATAGCAGGACGGGAACGATGAGGGACTTGTAGGGTTTGGTTTTCGTTCGTCGGGGGTGGACTATTTTACTTTTGTTATTATTGATGTTAATTCTGTTTCCGAAATAGAAGGTATAATCTAAGACCTCGTGTGATGACTGTCAACAGTGATGTGGTCGTAGAGTCGTAAATGCGATGCATGTTTGTGTGATAACAGGAGATATTTCCTCTTGCGCTCGTTCACTACCAGACCCATACCTTTCGCCCGCTTATCCAGGTTGGAGAAAGCAGAACTCACGGCGCGGTTGTTGAGGTCAATATCGTCAATATCATCTACGCACACCAGCAGCCATACACTCTTATAGAAGATTTTCTTTTCCGATTCTGACAGAGCTTTTAGTGTTGCATAATCGTCCAAGAACTAGAGGATTTTGTAAAGTTTTAAAGACATTGTGCCACGTTGCTTTGCTCGTCCCGCCTCAGATATCGCTATTGTAAATAAAGGTATAGTCAAAGCTGGGCACTTACACTCACTTCCAAATAAGGTCGAGCTCACACAATAACTGAAGCCAGTTGACCATTCACAATGACGTAGATACCCACTGGGTGCTTGAACAAGCAGTGAACGGCGACTTTTCGGACAAAATTTTCTTCATACATGGGATACACATCTCACTTTGGGGTATTAATAAATAAGCGTAATTGCCACATTCGGGGCGCCGCGAATCCTCAAAAAGTTGAAGAAAGACCAAGGCACCAAAAAACTTACTGTCTTACTGCCTTAATTTTTTCAAACAGCAACAGCGAGACGGTCACTGTCAATTTGGAGTGTTTTGGTCGTATGACAATCGATTTTATTTTGCCTACAGTTGATAAACGCGACTTGCACAGTAAATGGTTTCGTCACCATTTCGGTCAATTATGCGGTTTTTAAACACAATTCGCAGAAGATCCATTTCTCCTTGGCTTGGACCCCTAGAGCCGGCATGTTGAAACCATACACCATCCATGCCGTTTTCTGTAAATAGTCTACGAGCATGACTCGACAGCGCTCGGCATTGACGGTAACGGCAGCTCCTTCTTCGGTTTCAATGAAATACGGAACAATGCTGGCGCCCTTCCGGAGGTCGCTGCAAACAGTCATGCAAGGTAAATTAAACCATTTCCTAAGCCGGAAATCGTTAACTGAATACCTGAGTTCTCACCACATCTCCAAAGTCAGAAGATGTCAAAGCTCAAACGAGATATTGCCTACAAAACTATAGACTCCCTGTTAAACTTCTTCTTCTTCGTTGGTGCAATAGCACCACTCACGCGATGATGGTTGAATCAACTACCCAAAAAAAAAATTAAAATAACTGCTGTTCATATGCCGCAAAGTAACACGCACTGCCAAGTACTCGGCTTATCGATTTCCAGGTATCTTTAGGACATCGAAGGCAGACGGGAGTTACTATCTCTCCACATCAGCTCAATGAGCTACTTTTTTTTTTTGAAGTCCTCTATCTCACTTACCGCCTGCTTGGGGATCCTTAAAAGGTTTATGGTTAAGAGAATGTCCTTAAAAATTTATATGCTCTCTTATAACTTCCCACATCATTTCCCTCATCGCTCTCAAATCATACGATGCGCACAAAACATCAATCCGATCTTTTGGCTTGAAGCAAAAATATTCTTGGAAAGCGTGGTGTCTGCCTACTCAAGGGCAAAATTTGAAGTTGTCGATGTACGATAATAGAACGCAAAGGCTCAACTGAACTTTAAAATATGCAAAAGGCATAAATTGAAATCCTTGCGAAAATTCCTTTTTATATTTGTGTAGTGAACTTTTTTTTTTATTCATTTATGTGTGTAGGTAAAGTGCTTTGCACGACAAATATGTTTGTTTGCGCAAAAATTTCAATATTCAATTTAGTGGCGTATATTTATGTACGTACATATATGTTTGTATGTATGTAGATTTTTGTATGCCTCATCAAGTAATATGCCCTCAAACACTTCGTTATGTGGACATTTGCCATCATTTCAAAGTTTTTATACTGTTTGTGAATATGGGCTTTTATGTAGCTACATACATATGTATTATATTTACATATATATTAGGTGTAGTAAAAATAAATCCATTATTTTTGCATGAAATAGAAGGCTTTAATTTTGACTTTTCTTATCCAGCCTCATTCAAATGGTTCCAAACGGTTTTTCGAGCAATCTTTAGCTCTTGGGCAATCGAAGCAGAGCTTACATGAAGGTCGGACTCTACAATGTCCACGATTTTAACGGCATTTTCGACAATTGGCCTTCTACTCCGTGAAGCATCTTTTACATAAAAATTACCAGAATGAAACCGAAATTGTGCATGATTGACTGCAACAGTATCAAGACTGGCTTGCGTTTTCGTAGAAAAACTGTTATATATGGGGTACTTTCTCTTTGTTGATGTCCATCTCTGACGTACGGTCGAACAAAAGTGAATCATACAATCACAAAACTGTCAGCTTTCTAACGCCATAACGCGAGATACAGACAATCAATTAGGAAAACATAATGGATTTCTTTTTACTACACCTTACATGTATTTATGTTGGCGCATACGGACACACTCCTTCCTCTCTTAAACCCGCATTGCGAAGGTTTCACGCTAAATGCTGCCCTCAGGCTTCCTCTGTTGTAACACTTTCGTGTCGCTTGAAGCATATGATATTGTATTTTTTCATAAATTTGGCTATTTATGGAATTTCACGTTTGTATGAATGTATGTGTGAGTGTGGGTGAAAGTGTATGTGGTACTGCGTGGGTGAGCCTACAGATTTTATCCGACGTTGGCAACAACGATTCACTTTTTGCACTGTAAGTCAATAAGTATAAAAGGATACAGGGTGATCTGTTCATGAATGAAAGAATTTAAAAAAGTAAATTGTATACCTAGTATTTTTAGTGTAATAATTTAAATTTTGTAAATAATTTTTTAAAATATTAAAGTAAAAAGTTTGTTTTGAACTACCGTTTGATTTAAAAATGTAGGTTTTGTTTTCATATCATTTTGCTTGCGTTGAAAACAAATTTTACATATATTCAATAAATAATAAAAAAAAAAAAAACAAAATTTGTTTTCATATCATTTTGCTTGCGTTGAAAACAAATTTTACATATATTCAATAAATAATAAAAAAAAAAAAAACAAAAAAAACAGAGAATGCGGGAGGGCGACTTTTACTCATAAACGTATGTATGTTAATGTGCTTGGAAGCTATTCGTATTGTGTGTGATTGAGTTGACACTTTTATATTACAAAATATTAACCCAGTAGTGAAATAAATACTTTCAGTTTAAGATTTCATTTTATTATTATTTTTTTTATATATATTTAAAGATGAAAGCCGCTATTTAAAA